CTTCAGTTGGTGAAATCTAGAATCAGCTCAGGGAGATGGGCAGCATAGAAGTTTAATAATAAAATAAATAAATCTGGAGATGGTGAACTGGTATGAACATTTTTCCAGTTTGATAACTTCAGTGCTACACTGCCTGTGAGAAAAGACTTAATTTTGGTGAAATGAAAAACCCATGTTTACTGCTAAATGCCTTGTGCTGGTATTCTTACTTCTCTTATCCTAAAGACTTTCCAATTAGAAAATACAAATTTAAATTCTGATTGTCAACTGACCATAATTCTCTGCAATGTTGTTCTGGCAAGTGTAGTGTGAATTCAGTAACAATTAGTAAACAGAAACCAGAGTGGAACAATTGTTCCTTAGTTTTTCTTTAAAATTATAACTGTAAAAATTAATCAATTTAAGGAAGAAGCTGAATTTTTCTGTCTTCTGCCCCAAAAGTAAATGGTGGGGAAATGAGAGGATTATAGCTTTTCTTCCACATTCTCTGGCAAATAGAAGGCTCTTTGAGAAGAGATTTCTTTCAGTGCACTAAGATTGGAGAACGAGGAGTCTTTTGTGTTCTTCTTGTTCCCTTTCTTCCTTATTTTCTACAAGTGAAAGTAATCCTAGGTACACTGAAGCCTCTTGTACCTGCCTGAGGACAAATGGTAGGAAGGAATCAGGATAAGGAATAAAAGGCTGAGTAGTAAGGCAGGAACTTTCCACAAGCCCTAATGTTCCAGCCAACAGGCTCATGCAAGCTACACATAGCAATGGTAATTTACTACATACTGAAAAATGAACTGCATGCCCCATCTTTCTCAAGGCTCCTGAGAAGCAATAATGGAAAAGATCATCACTCTCCAATCTGGGATTGTGAACTTCCCAGCTACATGCAGTTGGACAAAGGCTGGACCTGACAGGGCTTCTCTAATGTTCCTTATTTTGTGGTGAATCAAAACTTTGAAGAGTAATAATTCTCCAGCCTGTACTTCACATTGTTTATATGGAATTCTGTGTTTCAGTAGATTTCTGACTGCATATTTCTGGTGTTAGCATATGGAACTAGGTAACAAATAACCTTTGGGGGAAGATGACACTTGTTTTTTTATTTGCATGGCAGGAAATCAGGAGCAGGAAGTATAAGTCTCACTCAGACTTGGTTGTGGTTGTTCAGAATGCATGTAGGAGGGGGCATCATATGATTGTTTGTTCCTGTATGTCAATATATATATATATGTATATATTTCTCCACAAATATATGTTTATTTAAACTGTATATATTTCCAGTATATCTCTTGCTACATAAAACAAAGACATCTGATGTACTACAATACATGAGAGAGCAAATAAAGCTAAAGTATAATCATTCTGATGTCTCTGGTTTAGTTTTGGCATTGTTATACGTAAGAATTTTCTTTATGTGGATATCTACATGTTTGTATATTAATATTGTAACTTTTAGCAAAATTGATAGTTTATTAATTTAATCTGTAGTTATGTCAAAGCGTATCTTCTGCCAGACAAGTCTCGCCAGAGCAAAAGGAAGACAAAAATCAAAAGTAATAGCACTGATCCAGAATTCAATGAAATGCTTAAGGTAAGGTAGGAACTGGGACAACACCATATACATTATTTTATTTATTTATTTATTTTATTAAATTTATATCCCGCCCTTCTCCTTGCGGACTCAGGGCGGCTAACATCGGGTAAAAATACACAAATAACATTACAAATTTAAAAATTAGTTAAAAAGGAAATATTTAAATTTAATCTAATTAAAATATAATTAAAACCCCCTCTAAAAGTTTCCCCTAGGCCAGTCCCGCAAGCTGGAATAACCATGTCTTAAGGGCGCGGCAGAAGGAAGGGAGATCAGGGATCGCCCTGATCTCTGGGGGCAGTTCATTCCAGAGGGTGGGAGCTCCCACAGAGAAGGCCCTCCCCCTTGGGGTCAGCAGCCGGCACTGTCTGGCTGACGGCACCCTGAGGAGACCCACTCTGTGGGAGCGTACAGGTCGATGGGGGGTAATCTGCGGCAGGAGGCGGTCTCGAAGGTATCCGGGTCCAATGCCATGGAGCGCTTTAAAGATGATGGTCAGCACCTTGAAGCGCACCCGGAAGGCCACCGGCAGCCAATGCAGCTCGCGTAGCAGC